AACTTTCAAGTGTTTGAGACATAATTTCAAATCATTGCATAATAAACATAATATCAAGTTTTATCATCATGCAAGCTAGTAATTTTCTTTCTTCTCTTTTAAGAAGTGCAAGCTAGTAATTTTTGCTTCTTTTGCAATGTTTTAGCTAGCAATTTTTGCTTCTTTTGCAAAGTCCAAGCTAGTAAAATTTTACATCATTTTATAACATGCAAACTAGCAATAATTTTGAGTTTTGTAAGTTTGTAAATTTTGCTAGATGTGTAAGTTAGCATGTTTGCTTTTCTTTACAATGTTCAAACTAGCAAGTTTCTGAAAAATAATGCAAGATAGCAATGTTTTACATGAAGCAAGCTAACAAATTTTGTATCATGCAAGCTAATGAGTTTTTTTTTTTGTAAAATTTTTACACCTTTTGATATATGCAAGATAGCATGTTTTTGCATATACTTGAAACATGTAAGCTAGCATTTTTGTATTTCTAGCAATTCTTTCTTCATTCAATTTGCAAGCTAGCAAATTAGTAAGTTTAATATAATTTTAGAACATGCAAGCTAACAAATTTTACACATGTGAAAGTTGACAAAATTTTGCATCTTTTGATATGAGCAAATTTTTTTGCTTCTCTTTATGATATACAAATTAGCAAATTTTTTGCTTCTTCTTTAAGTATGCAAACTATCTAGCAAGCAAGCAAAATTTGCTCCCCATATATCATTGTCTAATAGAAGGGAAGAATATAATATTATAATTCTTTTTCCTTTATTTTAATTTTTAAATCATGACAAGATTAAAGTATCAATTCTTTTTCAATATGTTTGTGCATCATTATAGTTTCAAATTAAAATATGCACAATTTTAAAACATTACATTTCATCCTTATGCATGATACCAAATAAATCAATTATCACTATGGACATATCATACATGATACCAAATAAAATTTTTAAATATTTATCACTTATTTTCTCCCCCTTTCCATTAATTTTCAAATCATCACATAAAGAATAACAAGAAATATTAATTTGGTGATGAGTTATACTTCATGAAAATAAGGGAGTATCGAAACATGGAAGAAAAATCAATTTATGTATACAATATTCCAAACATCAAAGCACATCATCTCAAGTTGTGAGAAAAATAATCAAGGAAACATTATAATTCATTTGGACAAATATTCTCTTTTATAAAATGTAAGAAATCATTCGAGAATAAAAAGTGAGTGATCTTGATTTATATAAGGAAAATATCAAGTTTTGATTCCGAGAATTTAAGATCATGATTTCAATAATGCTTCCTTTTAATATATAGCAAGTAGAATCATACGAGATCAAATAGTAAAAGATGTTCAAAAGAAATGTTAAGTCATGAATTCCGAAAGAGATATTCTCTTTAGTAAATGATAAAAAGAGACATAAGAGATCAAATGATATAATATCTTGATTCATGCATAAGAAATCTCAAGTTATAATTCTTGAAAAATGAAGATAAAAGTTCGTTCAAATTCAAATCGTCAACTCAAAATCATTTTCAAGAGATTCAAAATGGCATAAGTAACTTTATCAATAAGATAGAGAAAAAAAATCGATAAGATAGAGAAAAAAAAATTTCAAGAAAAATTCTTTCCTCTTTTTAGTTGTTTTAATTCATGTGATTTATTTCATAGAAGTATGTCTTTTTTATTTATATCAAATTGAAGCATATATCACCATTTAAACCAAAATATAAATTTTCACGTCATGGTAAAAAATATAACATATTAAACATAAGGCCTCTTTAAACAAGTGATTTGGTTTATCATTTTGATTCCAATGATAATATATTTTTCTTTTTATGAGTTTCATTTTGTGTGATTGATTTCATTTTGTATTCCAATGATAATACAATGATATCCCCAGCAGAGTCGTCAATTGTTGAATCTCGAATTTTGATGATGAAACCAATTGATAGTGGTACCACCTAATGTTAGTGCTGCAAGCGATGTTACCGCCCAGCACAGGCGGTGGTACCACTAGGACCCGGGAAACCCGGTATGAGACCTTTTTAGACTCTAAGTTTGAATCAACTTGAGGCCTATAAATACCCCTCTCATCCTCGATTAACATATACACAACTGAGTATACAAATTGGGAAAAATGTTGTTGTAATCTTGAGAGTATTTAGAATTTTGTTTAGAGAGGAGTAAGTGGGGTTGTAAAGGTTCTCTCCTGAACCAATCAAAAGGAGAATCGAGTTGTAAGGGTGGTTGATCTTTGTCCATTAAAGGAAGATCATTAGTGGATGCCAAAGGCTTCGACGGAAGAGGAATCAGTGGAATGGATGTAGGTCACGACGATCGAACCACTATAACTCGGTTTGCATTTACTTCTTGCAATTTACATTTACTGTAAACTGCCCTTCTTTACTTGCTTTACATCCGCTACAATTTTCTGTATGCTTTCAAGTTAACATCTTCCAAAACGGGTTTAATCGCAACAAGATTTTCAAACCAACATAATTTTTACCGCTGCACTAATTTACCTTACCCCCCCCCCCTCTTAGTGCAGACTCGTTCCTAACAGTTGGTATCAAAACTACGTTTTTATCATTGGTTTAACATCCAAAGAGAAATTACTCTTTTCGACTTTCAAGAGGGTTACTCTCTCATTCGTCCTCCCATGTTCAATGGGACGGACTACACATATTGGAAAACTCGAATGAGAGTTTTTTTGCTTTCGTTGAATCTCGATTTATGGAATATAGTCGAATTTGGTTTTCAAAAGTCTTCTCTTCCAATGAACGATTGGAATGAGTTGGAGAAGAAGACTTTCTCTTTAAATGCAAAGGCTATGAATGCCTTATTTTACGCTTTAGACAAAAATGAATTCAATCGGGTTTCTACTTGAAATCACACACGAAGGCACTAGTAGAGTTAAAGATTCGAAGATTAATAGTTTGATGCATGATTTTGAATTGTTTCGAATGGAATCAAACGAGACTATTGGAGATATATATACTCATTTTACGGATGTCATCAATAGTCTAAAAGCTCTTGGTAAAAATTTTTTGAATCTTGAACTTATGAATAAAATTTTACGATCTCTTTCTAAAACTTGGGATCCTAAAGTAACGGCCATTCAAGAAGCCAAAGATTTAAATACTTTTTCGATCGAAGAACTTATCGGGTCTTTGATGACCTACGAAATGACCAATGTGACACATGACGAACTTGAGAATAACCTTCCAAAGAATAGAAAGGATTTTACACTTAGAATAAAAGAAGACCACTCGAGCGAAAGTTCAAGTGATGGTGAATTTGAACCTCTCACATTAAAGATTAAAAAGTTGTTAAAACAAGAATAAAAAATTAAAAGAAAACTTAAAAAGAACGTAACTACTTGGTATGAACACAAGAAGAAAAAATCACTTTGGGATGAAACAAGTATCTCCAAGGAAGAGGAGCAAACCAATGAAGACGAAATGACAAACTTCGCTTTGGTGACTCTCGACAATGAGGTAAAATACTCAACAAGTTTAGGAGACAATGTTTGGGCGGTACCACTGCCAGACCCTATTACATGATATTAAATGGGCCAAATAGTAGGCCTAATTCAGTCATGATTCAGGCTCACTTGGCCCCTAATTGAGTTGGTATTGTTTTACCCCAATACCGACTCAAGTATACCAAACTAATTAGATCTAGATAAATTATTACAAAGCATGAATTATATATTGTCCGACATATCATTGGTTCTTCTAGCGCTTCGTTCGATCCTTTGGCGCATCGTCATCTCTTTTGGCATATTGTCCAATCGGCATGTTGATTCCCGCAACATATGATCTCCTTGGCACAATATCTGATCCTTCGACTCGATGCCCGAACTCACGATACGAAGTCCTTCTGCCGACATGTCGACCGATCCTCCGGTCCGACGTCCAATCTCCTAACATATTCAACTCCGATTCAACGTCTAATTCCTCCTACTTCAATCAATTTACCTCTCATTGATCGAAACTACTTCTGTGTTACTCAAAATATAGATTAGATCACAAACTCATCAATTGATTTTATAAAAAAAAAATCTAAGATTCTAACTGTTATCGTAACCACTGTTCTTTGTTCGGTAAGGTTGTTGCCGACACAAATGGTCTACGTCCCGTTGATGTGCCTAACGAGGTCGGCATGATACCGATGACAAAGATAACAGATGCGGAGTGAGAGAAGCGACTTTTATTATTGCATCGTCTGCTTCACGGGCAGTAGTTGTTTCGTCCTGTCACGCCTGGCTCCAACTTGGAAAGTAATCATGTTTTGGACTTTTCTTTCACAAGCATGCATGCATACCCTCCACCGGGGTTTTGCTGCCTGTTTCACTAGTCCAAATCAATCTGCGGTACGGCTACCTCGATCTCGATGACTAAATTTAGACAACGCTTTCTTTCTGGCATATTTGGTACACACTGATTGCTCTATAAAAACGAGATTCGTAGTCATTTTATTAACGATGATAAAACTACAAGCACAAACGTCGACCTATCCATCGCATATTCAAAACTAAAATGGAGAAAGCAAAATTATTCTCCCCTGAAACCGTTTCACTCCGCGCACTCTCACTCGAGACGGACTAAATTTGGGGGATGCAAATACCCAATTCTTAATTGCTGTGATCATTCATTCAATTCATTAATTAAAACAAAAAAAAGATAGATAACAACCAACCTAAGTGAATAAATGCGAACATAATTCGGGCAAAGTTAGCTTTAGGCTCGTCAATCGAGCAACGTTATATGCAAGAAAAAGCACGGTTCTAGATATGTAGTTACTTTTAAGCTTGGCCGACACCCAGGTATGACCGAAACACATTACATCGAAGCAGGTGAAGAGGACAACAGGAGTCCTTGTGGTTTTATGGCAATCACCGACAACCACCTGCCGTTTCGCAAATATATCCTAAAAGAAAAAAAAAAAGGTTCCTGACCGGCAAGACCGCAATAACTGACTGGATTCCCGGACGCGGCCAAGCCCGACCACGGTAATTGCTTCATTCTACTGCTGCAGCTATCTCTCTGCTAAGGTCGGGACCCCGGGGAGTGGGATAAGCGCAACTCCGACGCAACACGACACCAAGGCGTGAACACGTCTTTGGGAATCACTTTCAGCCACATCAGAAGCCACGACGGTCGATGGGAGTCCTCGGCTCGCTCTTCTATATGCTTTCCACTGCCGCTCCCTCTTTGAAGAGGATTACCAAGTAGACCTAATCTGGTTCTTCGAGATGCTCAGGTATGCACGGTGTTGCAAATTTTATGCTTTTCTCCCTTCTTGAAAAATATGTGCATTTTTTCCTTTCTGGAGATTTTGTTTCTATAATTTGTTGCTAGATTACTCGGACGTTCTGTTGCTTTGATGAGGAGCAAATCATACTTTCTTCCCCACCCTCTTTTTTTTGGTTTTTTAGCTCCGCTTTCAGTTCGCTCCATTGGAAATTTACGCAATTCTATGACTTTTATAACGAGGAAGTCCACATGAATCGGAAGGACGGAGATTTTTCTCGATTTCATTATTAGTGAGTTTGAGAATTTTATTGTTTATTTTTTTTGTTTTTGGGTTGGGGGGGTGGGAAGAGCTAGCGTCGTGGTCAGTTGGATCTTGAACTCTAGGAGTTTATGTTTACCACAGGACATCAGATTTTGTAGAGGCCCTCCATTTATCTCGGATCACGTTACTTAATTAGATTGCCGTGTTGACTACATCACCAAAATCTCACTTGGCGCATCACCAAAATGAAGATTCTAGCACGTACGATAGAACACCATCTTGCTTTTCCGCTTCTAACCAGAACCTCCAAGTTCTTGCTTGAATTATCACGTCATATTCTGTGCCTTGCTCTTGTGATTGATCGGTAAGTGCTTTTCGTGAGACGTGTCTCTGTTCTTAATATTTCGAATTGCTTCTGCAGAATGGACAATGATAAGTTAGGAGCACGGATTTGTCCCCTCGTTTGTGTATGTTGCCTGCTAGCCGCACTTGTAGTAAACGGATTTGATGTACCCATGACATTGCTTGAAGGTGCAGTAGACGAAGGAGCGGGTCAGATTCTCTCTCTCTCCTTGCCGCAGTACTGTTGTTTCTTGTAATCTGGTTCAGGAGACAGCCAGCAGTCCTTTAGGATTTAAAGGCTTTTCAACTCTTTTGTAGTCTGCTTGGATGGGAGCCCTCCAGCTTATCATTTCTCTCCGGGTTTTGGCTCTGGGATGAACAACTGGTTGGTTCACATGGAGGTTAGCTATTTCCTCTGCCTTATCTTGTGTAAGATAATGCCTTCTTTTGAATCGGTCTGATCGAAACACTATCTGCTGTTCAGATATCAAACCAATCAGAGTTGCACTGTGATTGTTGTACTTATAGCTGCTAGCTAGGACACAGGTTGGAAATTGTCCTGGATTGCAATTTGGAGCCACAACTACATGTGATTTCAAAGACTTGCAGATCAACTGGTTTGCTAGAGAACTGATAACACACCTTAGAACTAACTAATAAACTCCAAACTTCGTGCATGCTCGCGCACGCACACACATATACGTATGTATATTGGGTAATGCTTATCTTCACTGTAAAATCTAAAGGCACAAAGTTGATCCATGGTAACAAAAGAGTCGAGGTTTTCGATGAAAAAGGTGAGAGAAGGGTTGTAACTGCTCTAGGCCATGGAGAAGGCCAAGCTCCCAAGAGCTTCTAGCTGTTCTTAGTTGGACTGTGATAGGTTTATCTTGCTTTGGCAGGGAGGAGGCTGGTGCACGAATGTCCAAGATTGTCTAGCTCGGAGAGACACTTTTAGAGGCTCCTCCAAGTATATGAAGCCTCTTTCCTTCTCTGGGATCCTAGGCAATAGCCAGAACTCAAACCCTGGTATACTATCTTTTGACTATTTCTATTCGTAATTTGTGGATTTTACCATGTATTTGAAACACATTTGAACTTAATTAGATGTTAAAGATTCTAACATCTTTCTTTAATTTAAAAGCTATAGAAGAAGAAACTTCCATCTAATGCTTAGGTGAAATGAAGTTTTGAAATTCCTTCAGAAAAAAAAAGGTAGGGTGAAAGATCCATTTTAGCTCTTTTGGTTTTGGCCATGAACCTCTCAAGTCTTTATGGTTTACTCGTGTCTAAAATAACTCATACATTTTCAAAAACATAACATATAAGTCCCCCCTCATCAAGTCTGAGTTAACAGACATTAGAGTTTGCTTACGTGGCATGCTGACTCATAATAAATCATTAATATAATGATATGTATAATTTAGATTAAAGTTTATTTTAGCCCCTATAGTTTTGGTCATGGACCTCCTAAGCCCTTATGGTTTCCTCGTACATTTTTAAAATAATCCATACATTGTTAAAAACGAAGCATATAAGCCCCTCCCATCAAATCTTAGTTAATATACGTTAGAATCTGTTTACATGGTATGTAGACTCACAATAAATTATTAATATAATGACACGTAAAATTGAAGTTTAAAAAAAAAAACTAAGACCTCCATCAATGGCGGGAGGAGGCGTCATCGTGGAAGTAACCACCACCAGCATCACTGATCCGTTGTTGCCTAGTAGGGCGTCATATGCACGTAGCCTCTCCCACCTTGACGACGAGCTCAAGAGCTTCCGGATGTCACTCATCAGCTTTAGGGTGCATGGCACCACGTCGCCCACCATGGCGTTGCTTGTCACCACGAATAACACCCACTCCAATCCCAACGAGTACCACCGTACCTTGTAAGCCACCTCCCTTACGAAGTATAGCATCACGAAGACGGAGAGCAGGTGGAAGGAGTGGTTGAGCTGGTCCATGTAGCCCTCCCACACTTGCTCTCTCTCCCCGACCAACTTGTCAAGGAAGAGAAAGCGACGGAGGACATAGCGACGGACGAAGGCGGAGAGGTAGAGGTAGGTGAGGCCTGAGGCGGAGGTGAGGAAGAGTTGAACCACCACATCGTGGGTGCGACAGGTGGGGGCGTAGGAGAGGAAGAAGTGGGAGGTGGTGGAGACAATGCCTAGGAGGAGGAAGAGGGACCAAGAGACCTTTACATGCCTAGCGTCGGACTGGTTGATGCACATCCACCTGAGGCAGAATCGAAGGCTCCTGAGCTTGTCATTAGCTCGGGAGACGTTGCGTGCATATGACACCTTACTAGGTAGCAGCGGCTCGGTGCTGGTGGTAGTGGTCATTTCCACGACGATGCCTCCTCTCGTCATTAATGAAGGTCTTAGTTTTTTTTAAACTTAAATTATATGTGACATCATATTAATGGTTTATTTTCAGTCAACATGCTATGTAAGCATACTCTAATGTCTGTTAACTCAAACTTGACGAGAAGGGCTTATATGCTACGTTTTTGAAAATGTAGGAGTTATTTTAGATACGAGTAAACCATAAGGGCTTAAGACGTCCTAGCTAAAACCACATGAGCTAAAATGGATCTTAACCCTAACTTTCATGTGTCGTTATATTAATAGTTTATTGTAAGTCAGCATGCCATGTAAGCAGACTCTAACATTTGTTAACTTCGACTTGACGGGAGGGGATTATATGCTATGTTTTTAAAAATATAAGGATTATTTTAAACACAAGTAAACTGTAAGGACCTGAGAGTTCCATGTCCAAAACTATAAGGGCTAAAATCGACCTTAACCCAAAAAGGTATAAAGAAATAGAGGGCACAATTTTGTAAAGAACAACTTTTCAATTCGTTTTTCAAGGCTTTTGTTTTCTTCTTTTGTGACTAAATTGCTAAAATATACGATCTTAGGCATAGACAACAGGAACAAGGATCTGAATTGGAGGCTTCAGGGCATCCTATTAGAGAATAGTCATTGGACCTGTTAATAGTGAGCCCATGGAACCGGTAACCACGTAAAGTTTCTCAAAGCATACCCATTATTATACTGTACTCGTGGAAAGTGCATTTAAAATAACCTATCAAAAGTTAATCATGGAAGACAGCTGTGAAAATAAATCATTTTGGACATATCAGGTTTGACTTCATTCCTATCATTTGGAAAATGATTTAGCCAAAACCATGAATTAATGGAAGCTACGTATATCTTAGGAAATTTGCTTTCTCTTTATGATAGATCTAACTTCCACCATCCATTTGGCAACTGCATGTTGTCAAATGCAGTTTGTGGCTTTTGATGATTCAGATGCATGAAACTGTTCAATCACATGTGGCTATCTAAAAGAAATACAAATTTTTTCTTTCACAAAAAAAAGGAAAAAAAAAACTGAGAAATACTCCTTGTAGCAAGCTAAAGCAGTTTTCTTGCATGAATTATGTTGGTTGGAGTATATATGCAGATTTCTACAACTGGAATAAGGTCAAGATTCGCTACTGTGATGGTTCATCATTTACAGGAGATGTGGATGAAGTAGATCCTGTAAGTGATCAAGTTCCTTAATTAATTAAGACATTGCTTTTGCTGGCTGAATTCCCACACGCTCTTTGCATGCATACCACGTTTCACTGTCTAGCATAAACGGAATGATGCAAGTTACAGATTGGATTTTTGGTGAAGTCCATGACCTTTCTTCTCTGCTTTTGTTTTACTAGGCAACGAAGCTCTACTTTCGAGGAGCTAAGATTTGGCTCGCTGTTATTGAAGAGCTACTAGCAAAGGGGATGAACAAGGCAGAAAACGTAGGTTGTTGTACTGACACTTTTTTCCTTCCACAATGATTCCACATTCTAAGACAAAAAATGGGCTGCAGGCGCTTCTCTCCGGTTGTTCAGCAGGTGGCTTGGCATCCATACTGCATTGTGACAAATTTGGTGATCTTCTACCAGCAGGTGCCACTGTTAAGTGCCTCTCCGATGCTGGTTATTTTATTAATGCGTACGTAAGGCCATGCTTTGATTTCCTTTTTTTCTTAAGATATACTTTAGTCCATTTGACTGCTAAATACTTGACGAGGAAGATGTTCTTTCCATGGTTGCATACCAATAACAGGAAGGACATAACTGGGACAGAATCAATCAAAGCCTACTATAGTGAGGTTGTCAGCACCCATGTATGTCTCTTCTTTCACCTATTGACCATAGATATTTGGATCCTTTGAATTCATTAGCTATTTTAATCTGATATATGAAGAACTATGGATTTGTCTAACCCAAAATGACAAATTATGCATGATTACCTTGTGAATGTTGGTCGCATCCCCTGTTTTGAGTAATACTAACCTGTTCATGCTTGGTTGATGCTATCATGTTCTCTAGGGATCTGCAAAGAATTTGCCGTCTTCCTGCACATCAAGAATGACTCCGAGTATGGTAAGGAACATGACATTTAATGATGCAATGACAGATGAATTTTCTTTTTTTTGGAGAGCATATAGATGATGTTGCTTTCTAATAGCACTAACATTTTTTCATACATACACAAACCAGTGCTTTTTCCCGCAATATGTGGTGCCGCAGATGCGTACATCCCTTTTTATTCTGAATGCAGCATACGATGCATGGCAGGTAAAATTTCCCCAGAACAAGTCTGGTGTACTGCTTCCCAATATCATGCTTTATAGAAAATGATTCATTTTTTCATATCATGATAGTATCATGTTCTTTGTTCACGGCATCAAAGATAATTTTCTTTGTAAAAGGGTATTGTTTTTCTTTGAAGTTCTAATTTGGTTTTTAAATATATTGCCATTGGCAGTATGTATACAGGAAAAGGACAGAAACTGTAGTAACCTTCACTTCCATAATAACTTTTTCTTTCACCGAGGAAGTGAACTAACCATTTACTATATTGTTCAGACGCTGTTAGCTATAACGTGCATGTTTGAGTTGATGTAGATTCAGACTTGCAGCAATTATTTTCAATCTCCTAGTCGTTCATAAGCACATGCGTATATCATCGTTTATGCTTGGTGCTTGTTGAATAAAAAATCTCCTACGATATCACAGATCAAAAACATTTTAGCACCGAGTGCTGCCGATCCACACAAAACTTGGAATGACTGCAAGCTCGACATAAAGCAGTGTTCTTCGGATCAACTTCAAATCATGCAAGGTTAGAACTTTCCTTCCCCCCAAACGTTTGGCGGAGCTGCTTGAGATATTGCATAACATCTGCTAGCTATAATATTCATAAAATGGATGTCAGATCACCCATAACAATTAATTATGATATAAGTACAATACGTGTAATCAAGCATCGACTGATGATTTGATGGGAGCTTAAACAGGTTTCCGGTCAGAATTTCTGAATGCTCTGGCAGCACTCGGGAACTCATCTGCAAGAGGCATGTTCATCAACTCATGCTATGCTCACTGCCAGTCCGGAAGTCAGGATACGTGGTTAGCTGCTGATTCTCCCGCGCTGGATAATATTGTAAGCTCTCCACTATTCTGGAACCCAGGATTAGAGAGAAGAGGATTCTGCAAACAGTAGGAAAGCAGCTGCATGCATGCATGCATGGTTGACAATTCGATATATCATATATATATACTACTGCGGCATCATTTATTTAGTACACCGCACCAACCATTCTAATTGATTACCGGTGAAATAGTATATCCATTATCATTACTTTTTCTGCTGATGGCCAGCATTAGCTCTTTTTTCTTGCCACATAACCTCAGATACACTTGCATTAAGTTAAGGCCTATACACACACACACACACTTGCATCTAGTATGTCTAGGATGCCTGGCATCGAGCTATATCGCTTCCATCTCCTGTCCCTTGTCAACTTGTTATGACTGATTATTTGATTGTTTAATTGTTCATGTTGCAGCCAATTGGCAAAGCAGTGGGAGATTGGTTTTATGATCGAAGCGCCTTCCGAAAAATTGATTGTCCATATCCATGTGACTCATCATGCCGCAACCGTGTTTACGATTGACAATACATGCTTTCTTCTTCAGTCTTGTAAGCCGTATGCGACAATTGTAATCGGCCTTTTTAAGTGCGGCACTTGTTATTTGACTAGTACATGTATTCATGAAAGTTGAAAAAAATATGTTAAAACGGAATAATTTTTTTCCTCCATCAAAATAGGTTCATCATCAAAATATCAATTTGATATCAAAAATGTAAATATCAATCAGAACAACATAAACGATAAATCAATCACATAGTGAAATCAAATTTTTAACGTGAAAACCTCAATGTAGAAAAAATCACGGGATCGTAGTCCATCTCAAACTTTCATTATCAATAGTAATGATAATATGTTTATAATAAGTCTTCTCTAAAATAGTAAGAGGATCACAATAACATCAAGATCATATATCTTGACTCAAAAATAGCATATCTTCGTCACATAGATGGATCTCATAATAAGATAATTTTAGATCTCACAAAATAGATATTACAGGAAAGTACCTCAGAGAGGGTAAACTGTAGATCAACACTATTATGATTGTAGAGTTTGTTGCAAGGATTCTCCACATAAAATTTGGGTCAAAATTGATAAAGTTTAACCCTTGATCGTCAAGTAGAAAACTAAGAATCTTTTTTTTTTTCCTTCTCTTTCTCTCTCTCTCTTTCCTCTCGCTGTGCGCTGCTATCGTTCTCTGCACGCACGGACGCTACCCTCTCTCCTTTTTCTCTCTCTGCGCCGCCATCGCTTGTTGCATGCGCTCGCTGCTGCCCCTCCTACATGAACGCACATCGCTCAAAACCCTTTTCTTTTGCTTTTAATTACTGATTTAGGCTTATAGCCCACATATGGGCTAGACCCAACAATTCTCTCCCTCCAGCTCATATGGTGGGCTGTACTAAGCTCGCTCTTCACCTACATACTTCAAGCTTCTCCTTAGGCAAAGACTTTATCAACATATCTAATCCATTCTCATTGCTATGCACCTTTTCCAATTGTAATTCTTTTAACTCAAGCACATCACGAATCCAGTGATATCTCACATCAATATGTTTGGATTTAGAATGGTATATTGAATTCTTGGAGAAGTGAATGGTGCTTTGACTGTCATAGTAAACATTATATCCTTCCTGTTTCAAGCTCAATTCCTATAGAAACCTTTTCATCCATAAAGTTTTCTTGTATGCTACAGTAATTGCTATGTATTCTGCTTCTATAGTTGATAGAGCAACATAATTCTATAACTTAGATTGCCAAGAGACTGCTCCCCTTATTAATATAATCAAGAACCCCGAAGTGAACTTCCTGGAATCAGTATCACCTGTCATGTCTGCATTTGTGTACCCTTCTAACACAGGTTCATCACTGTCAAAACATAAACACAACCTGGAAGTACCTCTTAGATATCTTAATATCTATTTCACTACTGTCCAATGTTCCTTTCCAGGATTAGAGAGAAATCGACTGATAACTCCAACTGCTTGAGCTATATCTGTCCTAGTACAAACCATAGCATAAATCAAACTGCCTACTATAGATGAGTAAGGCACTTTGGACATTTCTTCTTTTTCTTTCTCACTTGTAGGATATTGTTTCGAACTAAGCTTGAAATAACCTGCAAGTGGAGAACAAACTGCTTTGATTTTACTAATATTGAATCTTTCAAAAACATTTTCAATGTAAGTCTCCTAAGATAGACAAATCTTCCTTTTCTTCCAATCATGAAAAATCTTCATGCCAAGTATTTGTTTCACCAATCCGAAATCTTTAATGGCAAAAGACTTACTAATATCTCTTTTAAGCTTTTCAATTTTACTAGCATCATGACCAACAATCAACATATCATCAACATATAGTAGTAGAATAATAACATCATCATTTGAAAATTTTTTCATAAACACACAATAATCAGATATGGTTCTACTATACCCTTGGCTCATCATAAAGGAATCAAACTTTTTGTACCACTATCTAGGTGCCTGTTGGAGTCCATATAAGCTTTTCATAAGCTTACATACCATATTTTCTTTTCCCTTGACTTTGAAACCTTCTGGTTGCTCCATGTAAATTTCTTCTTCTAAGTCACCATAAAGAAATGTTGTTTTCACATCAAGTTACTCAACTTCTAAATTCAAACGGTCAGCCAAACCAAGAAGAACTCGGATAGGGGATATTTTTACCACAGGAGAAAATATTTCTTTAAAGTCAATAACTTTCTTTTGATTGAATCATTTCACAACTAGTTGTGCTTTATATCTTTGTTGTGAGCTATTATTTTCAGTCTTTAATTTATAAACCCACTTATTCTTGAGAGCTTTCTTCTCTTTAGGCAATTTTACTAAGTCATATCTGTGGTTCTCAAGCTCATGTAGAATAGTTTCTTGGTAAGTTTCTGGCTCTCCCACATTAGTAAGCATAACATATTCATATGGAGGATATCTGATAGATGGTTATCACTCTCTAGTGAATCTTCTCAATGGAATCTCAACTGGTGGTGGAGGTGATTATTCAGTTGGTTCAGCATCATCAACTGTTTGAGTATCATCACTTACATTTTCACCATAATTTTCTTGTTCATCTCCCACATGATCATCATGAACTACAGGTGAAGGAACTGGACCCAAACTCCAAGGAATATAAATAGAGGTTTTTGCCTTCTCAACATTATTATCATAATCAAACAATTGGTCTTCAACAAATACAACATTTATACTTCTAATAATCTTTTTATTCACTGAATCACATAATCTATACCCAAACTTTGCATGACCATATCCCAAGAAGATACATCCTTTTGTTTTATTATCAAGTTGGGACCTTTCATCTTTGGGAATATGAACAAATGCTTTACACTCAAAGACTCTCAAGTGATTATAAGATATATCTTTTCCTTTCCATATTCTCTTTGGAACATTACTTTTCAGAGGAACTAATGGCGAAAGATTTATTAGGTCAACTGTAGTTCTCATAGCCTCCCCCCAAAATGACTTAGGTAACTTGGCATGAGAAAGCATACACCTAATCCCATTTTCAATGGTTCTATTCATCCTTTTTGTTACATTATTCTGCTAAGGAGTTTTAGGAATTGTTTTCTCAAGCCTGATACTATGAAACCTGTAATAATTTTCAAAATGACCCATATACTCACCATCATTATCTGATCGAACACACTTTAACTTTCTGCTAGTTTCTCTTTCAATATTGACATGAAACTCTTTGAAAAAATCGAATACCTGGTATTCAGATTTCAAAGCAAAAGCCTACACTTTTCTAGAATAGTTATCAATAAAAGTAACAAAATAAAGAGAACCTCCAAGAGTTCTAGTTTGCATAATACAAACATCAGTATGAACTAAATCAATAATATTTGATTTTCTAGATGATGGGTATGTAGGAAATATAACTCTATGTGTTTTTTCAACTAAGCAATAATCATAAGATTTAAAAGATGTACATTGCAACTCTGGTAAGAATTGTTTTCTAGCAAGATTTTGAAGTCCCTTCTAGCTGATATGACCAAGCCTTATGTGCCAAAGATCTATACTTTCACCCTTCTGAAATTCATTAATCTCTCATTTGTGTAGCTTAGCTTCCATGACATAAAAAAAGTTAAACTTATTTCCTCTTGTCACAATTAGAAAACCTTTAGTGAGTTTCCATTTGCTTTCACCAAATAATGTGCAAATCCTTCATCATCAAGTCTGCCTGTAGATATCAAGTTAAGACGAATATATGGAACATTTCTGATATTTTTGAGTATCAATTTGCTCTCAATACTGGTCTCTAAGCAAATATCTCCAATACCCATAATTTTAGATGTACCATTGTTTCCTATTCTGACATTACCAAAATCATCAGTAGTGTAAGATTTGAAAAAAATCACCATAAGAAATATATGAAATGAAGCACTAGAGTCAATTTCTCACTTACTATCCTAAGCTGCAAGACTAATATAATCGTCATCACAAAAAATAATGATATTACCTTTAGCAACAACTATATTGGTCTCTTTTTTATTTTTCTTCCTTTTATTTTGTTCTCGCTTCCAAAACCTATACTCTTTCTTCATGTGACCTGGCCTATTACAATGGAAACATTTGATATCTCTTCTAGACTTAGGATTTTACTCTATAACCAAGTAGATTTCTGCTATGACTTTTTCCATGTCTTTCTTATTTTTCAGAAACAAATGCACTAGAAGAAGATTCAACCTGTTCTTTCTTTTTGGCATCTTCATTTAACAAACTATCTTTAACCATATCTATAGTTAGAGTTCCCTCTGGCGTGGAGTTACAAATTGTCACTACAAACGTTTCCCAACTTTCTAGTAAAGAGCTAAGAAGTAATAATCCTTGCATCTCATTATCTATATTCATTTTCATAGCAACCAACTTGTTTCCAAAATACTAAAATAAGCTTACATGCTCAACAATGTTACCACCATCTTTATACTTCAAATTTACAAGCCTTTCGAGGAGAGAAATTCTATTTCCCACTATCTTTTTTACAAAAAGGTTTTGTAACATTTGCCAAACAATATCAGTTCTGGTTTCATCAGAAATATGCTCATGCAAGTTTTTATCCATCTATCTTCTAATATAGGTAATAGCTTTTCTATGTTAAACTTCTCGTTATTTATCGTTTTTAGTAGAAGGTTTATTTTCAACCTTGATAGGTTTATACAAATCTTTGCAATAAAGTAGATCTTCCATCATACATCTCTAAGTAGAATAATTTAATAAGTTCAATTTAATCATACAATCTGACTCTTTTATTTTAATCACACAAGAAAAACTAGCACCAAATAGCCTACTGCTTTGATACCACTTGTTGGGAAAAATCTATTAAAGTGAAATAATTTTTTTCCCTCTTTGTGTATAAAAATGGGTTCTTCATCAAAATATCAACTTGATATCAAAATATAAATATCAACCAGGACAACATAAACAGTAGAGTGATAAATTAATCACATAGTGAGACCAAATTTTTAATATGGAAAACCCAATGCGGGAAAAACCACGGGACCGTAGTCCACCTCAAACTTCTACTATCAATAGTAATGATAACATATTTACAATAAGTCTTCTCTAAAATAGTAAGAGGATCACAATGACATCAAAATCATATATCTTGACTCAAGAATAGCATATCTTCATCATATAA